GGCATAATATTGGGAGGGAAAATTTTAAAAAAAAAATGAAAAAAAGGAAGAATTCAATATAGAGAAATGGACGAAAAAGATTAAAAGAGAGAGGCCGACCTAGACAAGGCAAAAATTGGGCGTGACAGAGAAGTGCACAGACTAATGAGCTCAAGAGGATTATTGTATCGGCCGCGATCATTTTCTTCAGATTGCCGGTGAATAAGATTGAATCAGATGGATCTCATAATATTATATTCAGAATCCGCCACCATCAACAATAACACCATCTTCACTCAGCTTCAATCTTGGTTATGATATTTAAGTAACAGAAAACTAAAAATGGTCCGTTAATTGGTAAAGAGCTTTTCTTTATGGGCTTAGCCAAATGAAATTATGCAGAAGAGAGAGATTTATGGGGTTACTTACACCGACGGCGAACAATGAGAAAGGAAGAAAATTTTTGGCGAGATTTGAAACGTTCGAAGCTATGGATTAGTGTGCCGTATGGGAACTTAGAAATGTAGCAGCCACATATTAAACGTGCGTTTTGAAAAGTGCCCACTTTTACAAACACCAGCAAATATGATTAGTGGTGGCAACTGAGCGGGTTCCGGTGCCCTGCCATGTCACGCCGCTCCCCTCGCCTTGCCCCGTATTAGACGGGGGCGGGTCGGGCGGGCCTCATTTTGTTTGTTAGTTTTTTTTAAAAAGTTTTTAATTAAAATACAAATTCAAAATAAATAATGTTCAAATTAATTACATCAATATCTAAAACAAGTACTCAAAACAAAAAATGTCCAAAACAAACAATGTTCAAAATAATTTTATTTTTTTAATTCTTCACTGGATGGGGCTCGCCCCTCCCCGCAAACCCGTTGGGGTGGGGGGTTCCTCGTTGCGGGGAAAATTATCATACCTAAATATGGTCAATTTTAATAGAAATCTATAATATATTACGGTTTGTTTGAACCCATTTTTTTTTTTCAAAAAATATACTTTGCAATAGTATTATGATAAAGATGTATAGTTAAAAAATGAGTAATTGGAGCAAAACGTCTCTATTTTTGAAGGTTTTTGTGGAAAACGTCCGTACCTTTGATATTTTGGCGCATAAAGTCCCTACCATTGAAGTTTTTGACGCAAAAAGTCCGTACTTTTGATTTTTTGGCACAAAACGTCCCTATCTTCTGCATTTCTTTGCATTGAACATCATTTTCACAATTTTTTTAATTTAAAATGATCAATATACCTTCCTATGTAAATAGAACAAGAAAAGAAAGAAGAAAAATAAAGAAAAAATTGCAATTATAGGCCTGAACTTTTTAAAATATGCAAATAACCCACCAATCTTCACCTCCTTCATTTCTTTTCTTTTCTTTAGTTCATTTCCTATTTACCAAACAGGGTCGAAGTACACCTTGTAGTAGAATCATCATTAAACAATGAGGGCCCTTGGCTAGACTCGTCACCTTCAACAACTCCAAAAGCATGCACATTCAGATCAGCATCCCCATACATTTTTCCAATAGGTCTCTCCCTAATCGTTGAATACAATGGAACCGCAGACTGTGGTGGCAAA